CAGTGGCGCTCTGGCTTTTCTATGAGGTAAACTCAGAATTTAACACACAATTCACCTATCTTTTTTTAAAATAGTGGCTTACATACAAAGTTCATATACATTATTTTTCACACCAGGCCTTTCCCCTTTCCTTTACCAATTCCTCCCTCCATCCATCAAATTATGCAACCCTATGTTTAAGCTCCCCCTTCCCCTCCTTGGATCCTCATACATGCTCTACAATAATGTTCTCATACAGTATTTGTCCTTGTGGGACGGAGTTAAGTTCACTTAGCATAATGCTTCCCTGTCCCTTCCATGTTAGGTAGGAATTTAAAAAAATCATTGCTCCTGTTAGCTGTATAAGATTCCATTCTGTAAATGAACCATGATTTCTCAATTCATTCCACTGTAGTTGGGTATTTGAGCTGTTTCCATGTTCTTATGATGCACACATCTCTGTTTGTGCCACAGTTCTCATTTTTTCAGAGTATATGTCAAGCAGTGGAATAGCTGGGTCATATGGAATTTCTAGGTTCAGCTTTTTAAGGAAATGCAAACTGCCTTCCAGAGTGGCTGTATCATTTTAAAATCCCACCAACAATGTATAAGTGTTCCTTTTTCACTATATCCTCTCCAACATATATTACTTGAAGTCCTGCTAAACTTTGCCACTGCTACTTGGGGTAAGATGGTATCTCATTGTGGTTTGATTTGCACCTCTCTTTATTGTCAGTGATTTTGAGCATTTCTTCATGAGTCTGCTGGCCATCCAAATGTCCTCTTCTGTGATAAGTCCTTCCATGTTTTTTGTCCATTTTGTAGTTGGATTATCAGTCTTTTTGCTTCTGAAAGTCCGGTAGGATTCTGTAAACTTTTCTTTATGAGACCTTTGTCTTAGACTGTATTGCCAAATGTTTGTTCCCAGTTGGTAGGTTTTCTTTTCACTCTGTTGGAAAAACTTTTTTATGAGCACAGAGATTTAATCTTTAGAAGGTTCCATTTATCAATTTTATCCTCTTCAGATTATGCTTTTCTGTCTGTGTTTGGCAGTCCCTTTATACCATAGACTAGACCTTCTAAGCTTGGTCCCAGTTTGTCTCTTATGAGCTTTATGGCCTGGGGCATTATTCTGAGGTTTCTGATTCACCTTGAGTGGATTTTTTGATACAGTGTGAGATGTGGATCCTGTTTCAGCTTTCTACAGGCAGTAGTACAATTTTGCCAGCACCATTTGTTGAAGAGGTTATCATTTTCCCACTTTATAGGTTTTATTTCCTTGGCGAGTGTCAGTTGACCTTTGATAGATGGGTTCGTTTCTGGGTTCTCCATTCTGTTCCATTGGTCTATGTGCCTGTCATTGTACCAAGTACCATGCTGTTTTGGTTACTACTGCTGTATAGTACCTTTTGATGTCAGAGTGCTATGCCTCCCACTTCAGTTTTTTTTTTCAGAAGTACTTTATTTATTTGGGGTCTCTTCCCTCTCCAAATAAACTTGACAACTTCCCCTTTGATCTCCTTGAAAAATGAATTTGGTATCTGTATTGGTATTGTGTTGAACATGTAGATTGCTTTTGGTAGGATTGTCATTTGCACAATATTGAGTCTTCCTATCCATAAACAGGGCACATTTCCCCCCATTTCTTTAGGTCTTTTATTTTATCTTGTAGAAATATTCTGTAGGGGGTTTTTTTTTTAATAGGTCTTTTGTATCTTTAGTTAGGTTCACTCTCAAGTATCTCAATTTGTGATTGTCTATTGTAAATGGTATTGCTTTCTTGGTTTCCTTCTCTGAGTTCTCTTTGTTTTTGGAGAGGAATCCCACTGATTTTTGGATCATGATCTTATAGACTGCCACTCTACTAAATTAGTCTACTAGCTCTAACAGGGTTTTTTGGTTGAGTCCTTGGAGTTTTCTGTGTACACTATCATATCATCTGCATAGAGTGGTATTTTTACCATTTCTTTGCCAAACAGGATGCCTTTTATTTCCTTCTCTTGTTGTATTGCCCTAGCAAGCACTTCCAATACATTACTGAACAGCAGCAGCAACAGTGTACATCCTTGTCTGATCCCTATTCACAGAGAAAATGCTTTTAGTCTTTATATACTTTTCACTATTTTGAGGAAACTCTTTTCTATTGCAATTTTGCTGAGCATATTAATCAGGAAGGGGTGTTTGATTTTGTCAAATGCCTTTTTTTGCATCAATTGCTAGGATCATATGGTCCTTGTGACATGTTTTGTTACTGTGGTGAATTACACTGATTGTTTTTCTTATGTTGAACCGTTCTTGCATACCTCTTATGAATCCCACTTGGTCATGGTGAATTATTTCTTTTATGTTTTTGGATTCTATTGACTAAGATTTTGTTAAGGATTTTTGTGTCTACGTTCACGAGTAATATTGGTCTGTAGTTTTCTTTTTTGGTAATTTCTTTGCCTGGTTTTGGTATTAGGGTTATGCTTGCTTAGTAGAATGTCCCTGGAAGTGTTCCTTCTTTTTCTATAGTTTGAAATAACTTTAAGTAGAATTGGTGATAAATCTTCTCTGTTTGGCAGAATTCAGACATGAAGCCATCTGGTCCAGGCCATTTTTGTGGGGGAGTCTTTTTTATGACCTGCTCAGTTTCTTCTTTTGTGATGGGTCTGTTCAAGTGTTCTACATCTGTCTGTGTCAATATGGATAGGGAATGATTTTCAAGGAATTTGTCCATTCCTCTAAGTTTTCAAATTTACCTGAATACAGCTTTTCATCTTTAATTCTCTTTCTAAACACTTTGTTGGTGGGGTGTTGTTGTTGTTAGGTGCCATCGAGTAGAGTACTATTGCTAGTAACCCTATGAACAAAAGATCTTAACCCTGTTCTGTCGTGTGTTGTCCTCACACTTCCTGACACACAAAAGCCCATTGCTGTAGTCACTGTGTCAATCTGCCTGGTTGAGGGTCTTCTGCTCCTTTGTTGACCCTCCATCCGTCCAAGCATGATGTTCCTCTCCAGAGAACAGCCCCTCCTAGCACCATGACCAAAGCATGTGAGGCAAAGCCTCATCTTTCTTGTCTTCATAGAGCACCTGGCTGTCCCCTCTCCAAAACACTCTAAACATCCCATTTTCACTCCCTAGCAAACTCCATTCCATATTTTCACGATTCACATAACAATTCCAAATTAACACTTAAGTAGGAGGAAATAACACTGTTGTTATGGACTGTGGAGTTAGACCAACTCATAGCTGATCTTCTGGTGAGTCAATCACATGGGAAGAGACTGCCCATCATTCTCCAGTAGAACAGCTGGTAGGTTCAAAATTTCTTTGACTTGGCAGTGAAACATCTTACCACTAATCTACGAGGACCTTAGGTCTATGTTAAACCCCCTGCCATGAAGTCAATTCCAACTCACAGCAACCCTATACAGTTTCCAAGGGAACTCCCTAGAACTCTACTGGCAAAGTCCTTAGGATATTATGGTGTTAACCCTAAGTGCCGCTCTAGAAATCTGAATCTCCTAGTAGCTTCTTGGAAGAAAGACAGGCAGTCCCTCTAATGAGAATTATAGCCTTGAAATCCCAGTGTAGTGTCCATTATAAGCTAGATCTGACTTCACAGCAACAAGAGGATTTCCAAAGTTATAATCTTTACAGAGGCACATTGTCACATTTTCATACCATCCGGTGGGTTTAAATCATGGTTCAGTCAAGAGCTTAACTGTTGCCATCACCAAAACTCCAGGTCCGTGTTATCTCTGCTGTATTACTTCTCTTCTGAGCTTGTACATAATTTTTGGTGTCTCAGCTTTAAGAGTGAAAGTTCAGGACAAATACATGAGTCAAGGGCAATTAACAACAGTTTAGGCAACTTTCCAATCCTTCTTTCACTGTTGCATGGCTATCTTATCACCAATAGCTTTTGTTGTTGTTGTTACATGCCATCAAGTTGAGAATGACTCATAGTGACCCTATGAACAAAAGACCTGAATCCTGTTCTATCCTACATGATCCTCACACTTCCTGACACACAAGAGCCCACCACAGCAGTCACCATGTCAATTCACCTGGTTGAGGGTCTTCCTATCCTTCTTCTACCTACCACCCTTCCCAGCACCCTGTCCCTCTTCAAGGAACAGCACCTCCTAGCAACATGTTCAAAGTATGTGAGGTAAAGCCTCATCATTCTTGCCTTCAAAGAGCACTCCAGCTGCACCCACTGCAAGACATATCTGTTTATTCTCTTGCAATCTTGCTTGTTAAAAGTGAGGAGGACTTGAAGCACTGGTCACAAAAGATCAAGGAATGCAGCCTTCACTATGGATTACTTCTCAATGTCGAGAAAACAAAGACTGTTACCACTGGCCCAAAAAGCAACATCATGATGGATGAAGAGGAGACTGAAACTGTCAACCAAGCTTCATCTTGATTGAATTCACAATTAACACCCTTAATACCAGCAGTCAGGAAATAAGGAGATACATTGCACTGGGAAAATATGCAGTTAGGGACCTCTCTAAGTTATTAAGGAGTATAAGTTTGAGGACTAACGTCCGTCTGATTCAGGCCATGGTCTTTCCAATCACTTTCTATGCATCTGAGAGCTGGACTATGAGTAAGAATGGCAGGAAAAAAATGGATGCCTTTGATTTGTGGTGTTGGAGAAGAGCACTGAATATCCCAACGGATGGCCAAAAGAATAAACAGATCACCAACAGCACACAAGTTAAACCCAAGGCACGTTGGCCAAAAATATGTAGGTCAGGATTACACTACTATTATTTGATGTTTTTCCTTTGCACTAAGGTTCTAGGATGGCAGGATTCCATCTTCAGATATTATAATACTATAAGTAAATAATCTTGATAAAAATCACATTTCTGAGTATATTCAACTACAAAAAGCGTTTGCCAAAAATACTGAAACCATTTAAAGTTATTTTCATACAATGTGATTCATATTGCAAATGAATTAGTTAAATATCAAAGAGAGATAAGATACAAGCACTGCAAGGAGGAAACAATGACCTTACCAGGGCACAGTTGTCTATGTCTTGGTCCCTTTTCTTCATCTGTTGTATTGTGTTCTCCCATTGCTTAATGATTTCTTGTCTTTCATTGTGTATCTTGCGAAAATCTTGTGCTGCTTTATCCAATTCTAACTGTTAAATGGAGATCAAATATTTGTCAATGTAAGTACATTTGCAAAGACCATCCTGAAAATTATGAAATAAAGGTGTTCATTAAACCAACCTGTGCACTTAGAGTCTCTGTAAGTTCATTGTCAAGTACTTTTCTTTTCTGATTACATTCCAAAGTCAGTCTTTCTAATTGTAGATTCAGTGCCTATAAGTAGTTACACATAGAAATATTTATCATTATCTTAAAAGCAATTAAATACCATGGCTAACACATAGTAGTAGTAGTAGTAGTACATTATAAATACATACTACATTTGTTATATAAAGTAATTATAATTTTTTATACACCATGTAACTTTGAGTAAAGAGTTGGAGAAGAGTACTGACTATACCAAAAGAAGAAGCAAGATATGTTCTTGGAAAAGTGCAGCCAGGGTGCTCTTTGGAGACAAGGATAGTGAAACTTCATCTTACATACTTTGGGCATGTTGATAGGAAAGCCTATTTATTAAAAGGACACAATGCTTGGAAAAGCAGAGGGTCAGTGAAAGAATGGAAGAGCCTCAAGGAGCTAGATTGACACATGACTGCAGCAATGTGCTCAAATGTGTCAGAGATTATGAGGATACCACAGGATAGGACAGGGTTTAGATCTGTTGTTCATGGGGTTGCTATGAGTTGTATTTGACCCAGTGGCACCTGACCATATGTTAATTTATATCTCAAAATTGTCAATGTGTTTGTATATTACTACAATGGAAATTCCATTATCTCTAAAATGACTTCTGTTGTTGTTGTTGTTATGTGCTGTTCAGTTGGCTATGGCTCATAACAACTCTAGGGATAACAGCTCTGAGTCCTGCCTTATCCTGAGGTAATCCCATTGTCTCTGACACACCTGCCCTCCCCAATTACTCTAGAGACTTCTAGTAGTCTTAAATTACAAACATATAAAACTACAATTTGTCATTTAAAATATCACAAAACCAAAATCAAACCCATTACTGTTGAGCTATGTGTGACAACAAACCTATAATGCAGAGTACAACTACCCCATACACTTTGTAACATCGTAAATCTTAATAGGAGCAGAGTGTCACATCTTTTTTCTACAGGGAGGCTTATGGGTTCAAACCATCAACCTTCTGGTTAGCAGTTAAGTGTTTAGCCACTATTTTACATGCAAATTATTACATTTTATATAAAATAGTACTTGAGTATCATTCCTACCTCAAGATTTAATTATGAGCAGATTTTAAGTAATGGCTGTGATAATACATGAAACATTAACACTACAGTCTCACATCAGCAAAAAAAAGTCTATAACGTTCAAAACACTGTTGACACAAAGTAATGGAAACATTTATAATATTGGTATAAAATCTTGCTTTCCAAAATGCCTTTAAGAAAATTCATAAATTAGAATTCTTAACCTAGGCTCTATGGTTTGTTTCCTAGATGATCCAAAAAACTTTAGGTTCTATAAAGCTTCTTAAAACACGTTAACAAATACATTTTTTTCTAAATAAAGAATTCTTTGTTCTGTTAAATTGTTAAGAGTTTCTGACCCAAAAAGTTTAAGAACTACTGTTTCAGTTTATTAGAGTTTATTACGGATTCAGAAAAAAGGTTAAAATCACAATTGCTAATTTCTCACCCTGATTTTATTATCATCTTGTTGTGCATACTTCTGCAAAGTGATGGTATCACTGTCTTTAAGAGCAGATTCTTCTAACCAGGCCTCCAGTGCTTGCTGATCCCAGTTCATTTGACATTTCAAACCATCCAATTTTTGAGTTATTTTAAATATGCTGTTCTAATTCACAAAGAAAAGGGGAAGATTACAAAACTTTATTTACTATGACTATGGAAACTAAAGTAAAACAAGATACAATAAAATACCTAAACAAAAGGTACTGATATCAGGTCAGTTTCAAGTTATAGTGACTTACAGAGCACAGGAGAAATACCCCAGAGGATTTCCAAGGCTATAACCTTTACAAAAGGAGCTATGGTGGTGTACAAGAAGTTGTGCTGCAATCTAAAAGGCACATGGTTCGAATCCACTAGCTGCTCTATGGGAGAAGAATGGGAAATCTCCTGTGCAATTAACTGCCTCTGAAAACCGTCCTGAGGATCAGCTATGGGAAAATTCTAACTTGGTGGTACACAACAACAACAACGGTCTCTACAGAGGCAGACTTCCACTTTTTTCTCCCATAGAGCAGCTGGTGAATTGACCAGGTACGTTGTAGAGTGAAATCAAGGACATCATACATAAAGAAAGCAAGAAGTCACTGAAAAGAGAAAAGGAAGAGACAACAATAGCTATCAGAAGAGACTCTGAAACCTGATGCTGAACACATAGAAAATAAAATAAAGGCAGGAATACTGAAACAACAGAGATGAACACAAGATTTCAAAGGACAACAAAAGAAGACAAGGCAAAGAATCATATCAAAATGAGAAAATACCTAGAGTTAGAAAACCAAAAGAGAAAAGTTAGAAAACCAAAGGAGAAAGCATCTTTCAAGCTGAAAAACTAAAGAAAAAATTTTAAGCCTTAAATTACAATACTGAACGGTCCTATGGGCAAAATACTAAATAATGTTGGAAGCACCAAAGGAAGATAGAAGAAATAGTAACTGTATCAAAAAAAATTGACTGACATTGAACCATTTCAGGAAGTAGTATATGATTAAAAAGCGATGATACTAAAGGAAGAAGACCAACCTGCAATGAAAACATTAGTAAAAAAAAAAAATAAGGCTCCAATTACTGTTGGAATTACTAGTTAAGGTAATTCAGCAAACACATACAACCCCAGATACGCTTACTAGAAATTTGGAAAACAGCTACCTGTCCAACTGATTAGAAGACAATCATATCTGTTCCCACTATAACAAAGTAGGTCCAACGGAATGCAGAAATTATCAAACAACATCATTAACATCACATACAAGTAAAATATTGCTGAAGAGACTTAAAGATGGCTGGAGCATTATTATAACAATACAGAACTGCCAGAAATACCAGCTGTATTCAGAAGAGGCTGTGGAACATGGAGTATCATTGTAGATCCTGGCTGAAAGCAGAAAGTAGTAGAGAAGATGTTTTTGGCTTGAGAATTATTGCCTCTGCAAAGATATCTGATTGTGTGGATCATAATAAATGATGAACAGCATTGAGAAGAACTGGAATTACAGAACACTGAACACTTATCTGTGCTCAAGCAGATGAAGAAGCAGTCATTCAAACAGAACAAAGGGATACTATATGTTTTAAAATCAGGGAAGGTGTGTAGCAGGATTGTATCCCTTCTCCATGACTATTCAATCTGTATGCTGAGTGAATAATTTGAGAAGTTGAACTATATGAATAAAAATATAGCATCACAATTGGAAGAAGACTCACCAACAATCCAACTTACACAGATAACACAACTCTGCTTTGCAAAGTAAAGATAGCTTAAAGCACTTATTGACGACTAAAGCTTTCAATAAGAATTACACCTCAACATCAAAAAAACAAGGCAACATAAACAGAGAAAAGATTGACGTTCTTGAGGGTTTAATTTTACATGAATCTACAATCAACACTCCTGGTAGCAGCAAGAAATCAAAAGATTTGTTGCACTGAGCAAATCTGCTGTCAATGGTCCTTTAAACTGCTAAAGCACACGAATGTCAGTTAAAGACTAAAATGTGCCTGACCTAAGCTATGATATTTTATGATATTTCCCATGCATGGTAAATAATGCTTAAGGAATACCAAATAAAAATTGATGACTTTGAATTGGGATGTTGGCAAAAAGTATTGAATGTACTATAGAATGTCAAAAGAACAAATCTGGTTTTAAGGAAGTACAACCCAGGTGCTTTTTGGAGGCAAGAATGGTGAAAACACTTCTCACACATATTTTGGCATGTTGTTAGGAGGCATCAGTTCTTGAAAAGAAGACATTGTGCTTGGAAAGGTAGAGAGAGGGACAACAAAGGAGAAGAAGAACTTCAATGACGTGGACTGACACAGTGACAACAAGAACGTGTTGAGCAGGGTAGAGACTGTAAAGGCAGGATATGACAAGGTTCAACCTATTGTTCACAGGGGCACATTAAGTGAAAATCAACTTAGAGCCCCTAACAACAAAAAACAACCCCCCACAACAATCATAACTACTTCTTCGAGCCTGTGAGTTCTTCTGTCCCACGTCCAAATTGTTGTCCCTATAGCCTTCTTATAAAAAAATTTTTTGAACCATCTCTAATTAAGGAGATAAAAATATTTCTACACATTTATCTAACAACTATAAATTCCTTTAATATAGATGTAAAAAAGACCAGTCTAATAAAGCATCTAAGTGTACACTTGGATTCTCTGACGTATGCTTTTATTAGTTGTCAGAGAACTGATCCTGCACATTGTAGAAAAAGGGAGGACACATGCTGCATTTTCTGCTACTTCTTTCTTACTGGCAGTAAGATTCTGCCTCTAAATGTGCTCAATTTAAACCTGGTGAGATAGGAAAAGTGGCCAAACTCCTCATTAGCAGGCTGTACACCCAATGTGCATGTTCCCACCCAGCTATGTGGCAAAAGGCAAAGGCATGGTGATCAACAAACCACTAGACCACGTGCAGAGTGCCCCATGTGTGCAGAACAGTGGTGCTCCATAGAGCTGTCAATCTCCCAGAAACAGATCAGCAGGCCTGTCCTCTGAAGTGCTTCTTGATGAGTTCCAGCCACTAACCTTTTAGTTTGTACAGGTTGCTGTAGTTGTCAGGTGCCATCTAGTCGACTCCAACTCACAGTGTTTCTACGAACAACAGATTGAACCTTGCCTGAGGCTTCACAGTCTCCAATCTCTGCTGTTCTCAAGCCCACTGTTACAATAACTGAGTCAATCCATCTTGTTGAGGGTCTTCTTCTCTTTCACTGACCCTCTACCTTTTCAAATATGATGTCCTTTCCCAAGGATTGGTGCCTCTTGACACTGTATACCCAAAGTATATGAGATGAAGTTTCATAATCTTGCTTTGATTTGTACTTTTGTACTGTTTAGCTTTCTGATGCATAGCCTTACTATTGTTGTTATCCTCAAGTCGAGCACGACTCATAGTGACTCTGTGAACAAAAGGCCTGAAGTCCCTCTACAGCTATAGAGATTTATCAAAGTTCAGAGTTTCCAGAGGCATGTTATTTAGGAAGTGGATGTCAAACCTTCCTGCTTCCAAATCTGTTTTATAATATGTTACTGAGGCTTATAGAAAAGCAAAATTTATTTGGGTCTATTTTTTCAAGCAATTAAAGCTCTAAGTCAGTTTAGAAAAAAACTTCACCTAATTATTTCACAGTAAAAGCTGTTAACAACTCTTTTTCTTACTCATATTTTTTTTCTTCAGCATCTTTCCTCTTCAAAATCCATTAAATCTTGCTCTATCATACTTCTTTATTTATAATATATGAGCCATTATAATATATGAGTGGCATTATCAAGTTGCAAATTTATATTTCTTGACATCTGCTTGACTTTTTTCCCACTGACTTCTACCATATTATCCTGATCAAATGTTTGGAGTATGTTTACATAACCTGGCACTTTTTTCCCCCACAGTACCTTGCATGTATTTCTTTATAACCTCATCCAGGAAAGATGAAATGTTCTGAATACATGGAAGACAGGTATCATTCTATTTAAAAAAAAATCAGTCATGTAATATTACTACATCACCATCTGCTACAGTTGTTGTTTAAGCAAATGAAGTCTATAGCTGGTATGACTTGAAGGCAGCACCTGCTTCTTGACCCACAGGCAGGCGGTCCATTTTCACATTCTTATTCAAGTTATCCAAGTGAGGCAGACGTTCTGGGATATCAAACTTCTAGAGTGAAACCATTTAAAAACCTATCTTAAAATAACAGAATCATCATCCAGACTCTGACATCCATTCCTCCTGGCGTACACTTGCAGCTCGTTTCTTTAGTGTTTGGAAGGCTCCAGATCTTTATCCAGATTTTAACAAAAGGTCTTCCTCTAAATCTGGTAGCATTTCCCCTAAGCAGCAGCTTGATTCTGTCTTTAGAGATATCAACCCTGTCTCTTTATAAATTCATTCTGGCATCCTTTTCAGAAACAAGGCTGTTTAATCCAGACTAAAATCTTCTTCAAATTATTTTGTCTATCTTATCTCCAAATTTTTTGGAGCTCCAATATATCTGCACTTTCAACTTCTCTGGTTAGGCAAACTAAATTTGCATTGGAAACAACAAAACCAGTTCCTGCTGGCATTAAGTACTCAAGCTAATCTTGCTCTTTAAAATTTTCAAAAAGGTGATGTGTTGTTTTGTTTTTATTTTAATTACCAGTAAATTCAGTGAAATCTTCCGGATTTGTTCTTCCATCCAAATCATCTACAGCCCCTGCATTAAATAGACTATCTCTTGCCTTTTCTTTGTTAAAATTGCCAGTCACTCCCTTCTCATTAATTGATTGGTAATGAATCAAAACTCACTCATAGTTGACTCTCCTGGGTTTCAAGGGCTGTAAATCACACAACAGGTGACTACCCATCTTTCTCCCTTAGAGATGCTGATTTGAAATATCAGAGTTGCTGCATTTGGGTTGGAATCAACTCAATGGCAGTGGGTTTTCTAGATAAAGAGGAAGATAAAAAACTACAACCTACATTTAGGATTGTACCTTAACAAAGAAAACAAAAATTTTCACAACTGGACCAATAAATAATGGATAAACAGCAAAGACAAAATATTAAATATGCCAAAATATTAAATGTGCCAACTTTAATTTTCTTCTGTTTTCTTAAAAAAAGATTACATGCCCAACTCTTATATATCAAAGAGTTTGTTTTATTGATATTTGTTTTATTTTTTACCATTCCATCAAGACTTTATATAATACATTTGGAGTAGTTACAGGAAGCCATCTAAAGAAAATATTAAATATAACCAAATTCACCACTATCTAAAAAATATTAAAAGTGCAAAGGTTTCTTATTTCTTGGATCCACAATTTAAATTCCATGGAGGCAGAAGTCAAGAAATAAAAACCACATAGCAGCACACTCAGGAAATATGCTATAACAGATCTCTTTAAATGTTAAAAAGTAAAAATGTCACCTGAAAGCTAAGGTGGACCTAACCAAAGGTATGGTATCTTCAAAAACAGATAAAAGCTGGACATAAGTAAGAAAGAACAAAGAAAATGTAATTCCTTTGGATTATGATACTAGCAAAGAATACTGAGTATCTCATTGATTGCCAGAAGACTAGACTCATCTTGGAAGAAATACAGCCAAAATTCTCCTTAGAAGCAAATGTGGGAAGAATTAATCTCAGGCATTTTATTAAGAGGGTGAAAAATAGGAATATCTTCAAGAAGGCAGACTGACGCTTTGCAACAGTGAGATTAAACACATAAACAACTGTGAAATGGTATAGGATTGGGAAGCATTTTGTTTGATCGTACAGAGGATCTCTAAGAGTCTGAACCAACTCAGTAGAACCTAGCAGCATAGGCATTCCAAGTACAGACAATGTGCTCCACAGAAGCAAAGATGGTGAGAGTTTGTCTCACATTACTTTGGGTACATTATAAGGAGGGCAAGACCCTGCAGAAAGACACCACGTTTGGTAAATCCTATGTCAGAAAAAAAGAGAGAGATAGTCAACAAGATAGACTGACAGATGGCTACAACAGCAACAACTGCGAAGATGACAAAGGACCAGCCAGGTTTCATGTGCACACAGGGGTGTTATGAATCAGAACTGACTCAACACCACCTACCAGCCTAAAACACGGGCCTATGAAGCCTGCATCAGTGTAATATAAATGAAGTAGAAGTTGTAACAGCTTTCAGGTTCGTTCACAGGTCAACGGTCATTACATTTTCTCACTGCCCAAATTTCTATTCCCTGAAACTCCTGACGCAGATACCAACTTCACAGTGGCATAGAAACACAGCCTGCTGAATCATAACACTGAACATCTGTGAGTAAACATCTGAGACTAGCAGCAACAAATGCTACATCCCTGCCACGCTGGATGTAGTACATACTACTGGCCTCAGTAATTGCAGTTAGTTAAAACTCAAATACATCATAAGGCAAGGACTATCTTGACAAGTTTTTAATCTTTTATGTCACTCAGGGACTTCTGAAATATATGTGTGCATATATAAAGAGATATTATAGTATTCAGACTTTAAAAAAACCTTCCAAAATCAATGAGCCAAACTAAAAAGAGGAAAGAAATTACTTAAACCAGTATTAATATTGAAGTCCCTGGGTAGTGCAGACTGTTAATGCACTCACCTGCGAATCAAGAGGTTGCATGTTCAAGTCTACCAAAAAACATCTTGGAGGGAATAAAACACCTCAAAACCAACTTCCAAAAAAAGTCAGTCCTTGAAAATCTTGAAGATCACAGTTCTACTTTTGACATACATGGAATAGTCTTGAGTAGGAATCAATCCACAGCAAATTATATTCATTTTAATATCAGCATTAAAAGGTGGTAAAAAGAAAGGTAAATTTTTTTAAGTGAAAACCAAAATTTTAAACAAAAAGTGAATTTTTAATTGTGCCTTTTACAAATGTAGCACTATCTCATACAGATTATATTTAGTATTTTATAGCAGGCAGCCAGAACAGTGATATGCATGGAGTAAGGTTCCATAAGTAATTGGTTGGTGAATGAGTAATGGGAAAAGAAATAGAACATTCTTGATTGCTGACAGCTGTAAACTTTATGTAAAGTTTACACTATTTACAGCTGTAAACAAATAGCTGTAGATTTTCTTAAAATATATATATATAATCATGTGTTTGTATTAAGTTTTACTTAGAAATATACAATCTATTATTATCTTGCTTAAATAAGACTTCCTTTTGCTTTTCACTGTCATATAAAATGATGTAAAAATGCCAACGAAGTAATAAATATCCTTTCTATACAGAAAAAAAATAATCAATATTTGCTTGGTGATAAAAAAGAGGGGGTTACAGCAGAGAATTGTAAACATTTCAACACATACTTCCTTATCATTTTTCTGTCCTTGTATTGAAGCCACCTCATTTTTCAGTTGCTGAATTTCACTCGTCATTCGTCCCAGTTCTCTTTCCGCAATAGCTTTAAAATGTTCTTCACTTTCAATCTCATGCTCCCTGGCTTTGCAAAGAGACTACAGAATAATCCATAAAATAGAACAGCTGTCAAATTTTCAGTATCACAAAATATTTCTAAAAATCTATCAAACAAAAAAATTAATACTTAACAAAATTCTTAGATTAAGTATCATTAATCCCACTATGTGAAACTTATACATATTCTACTTTATAACTGCAATGTGACTGGTAATTGTTACCTGTAGGAAATTTAAGTTCATGTACTATCCTAGGAAAAAATGATTACTCTTAACAGTTTTTAGATATTATGTTGGTCTAGAGAAACTAAATCAAAGTAAATCAAAGCTAATATGGTGAAATCTAAAAGCTGTAAATCAAAGTAAGTAAATCAAAGCTAATATGGTGAAACTTAAAAGCTGTAACTCGTTGTCCTTACAATCTTGAGGGCTTCAAGTGTAGTTGGCCTGCTGGCTGTCCAATTCTATTATTCTTTATTTGTATTTTTCCTTTTCTACAGTAGGCTGGAATAAACTAACTTTTCTTGAATTAAAGAAAAACACAATAATTCATTACTTATCTAAAAATAATTGGGAAATAGAATGATTACATATATTTAATAGCATATTTAAATTAACAGAGATATTTTAAATAATTATTTAAACCTGACAGCTATACATTTTCTTCAAATATATTTATATATTCATGTTTTTATTAAGTTTTAATGTAACATTTATAACTAAGTTTTACTATAACATTTGCTGCAAATAACTTTATAGTGTGTTACCACTTACAATACTAATACTCTTTTAAAATTATGAATATTGTAGGTTTATTATCTTTTGTATTTCTTTTTCTATTCAATCTAGTTTTGCTATGATCATCACACTCAGTTGTTATGCCTCAAAAGCTAAGTTAAGGGGTTTAATAAACCAAAGAAAAAAGCATTATTTTAAAAAATTTAACAATTAATCAAACCAGGATTCTAAAATTTTAAGTACTGCTTTAAAAGTTCACTATATTTGCAACTACTAAAACATGGAAGGGAGCTTTGGTGGCTCAGGGGTAAGAAGGTGAGCTGTCGCATCAAAGTTCAAGTCCACCAGTCACTTTGCAGGAGAGAGATGGAAAATCTCCTCCAGTGCAATTTACAGCCTCTGAACACCTACCGAAGGGTCAGCAATGAGTCAGATCAGACTCCACAGTATACGGCAACAATACATGTAAGTCACACAAAAATAGTTACTGATGTATAAATGAAAATAAAACATAGCTTTGTTCATTTTTTAAAACTATTTTTTATCAGAATACAACTTTAAAACATTAAAAAAATGTTTAAGATAGAAGTGAAGTAAATTCTCCATTGCTGATTTGCCAAGCTTGTGGGCATCATCAAAGAGCAAGGTGCTACAAATGAAGAGACTACTCATAAAGAAGATTACTTAAGCACTCCAACTCTTGAGCTTCTATTATTTGTGTAAAAAATATCTGTAAGATGCATTCACTTTCCCATTAATCTTAACTAAAACCTTCTAAATATAGTTTCACTGTTCATCACCTCAAGAATAATATTACAAATATTCAGTCTTGACTTTGCTAAAATATCATGATGCCCCGAGAGCTACCAAAGTATGTGGGAGATTTTCCTTCACTCAAGATGATCCCAGAGGAATATGCGGCAAAATGAAGAGCAGATAAAAGCAGTTATGCTTGTACCGGGTCTGTTTCTGCTTCCAGCAGTCATTTCTCACTACCATAATTATTACTTTCTCATATAATTTATTTTCTAATATCATTAGGTTGTTTGAATGGTGATTTCTCCTTTTGTACTAACTGATTTCTTTGGACTTAGTGGCAGAAGGTAGTTTTCAAAATCTTTTTTTCCCTGCCTCCTTAAAGGTTCAAAGTTATACTCACAATAGTTTAATTTTGCTTATTGTTATTGATGTTGTTATGTGCTACTGAGTCAGGGATTACTTGTATCTGACCTTCCAAAGGGTTTTCAGAGGCTGGAAATGGCATAGGAGATAGTGCATCTTTCTCCCAAGGAGGAGCAGTTTGAATCCACAAGTTGCTCTACAGGAGAAAAGTGGTCTATCTCCTCTCATGACATTTACAGCCTTTAAAAACCCACTGGAGGGTCAGCTGTGAGTCAGTTCCACCTCAGCAGTACATAACAACAACATATACTATATATGTCGAATAGATAAAGGAGACCTGTTGGCCTAGTGTCAAGGAACGGTAATCATGCATTCCCTATTATATCTAAGATAAAATCACATAAGTAAATGCACTCTTAAAATAGTCAATAAATATGTGTGATACAATCAACATTCAATCCAGCATTACCTGAGTAAAGGCAAGCTCTTGGTTAACATTTTTAAAATGTGACGTCATAGCACTGATTCGCTCTTCATAGTCACGGAGCTGATCTTTCAAAGTGGACCTTTCATTCTGAAGCTTTGACAACTGCAAATAATAAATGCTATGATTAACTAAAGTCCTGCTAAATTTTTCACACATTCAAGGCCTTCAAATAAAAATAAAACATTCATTTACTCTGCTTCCTAAAAAGTCTATTTGAATCTCTAAAATCTATTATTTAACTAAAATAAGTGTAGCAATTGGGGGATTACTGTGGAAAAGCAGCCCCATATTGAAAGAACAGAATCTCAGAATAGTAGCAGGTGTGGTCAGGGCCTACTGCTGACATGCTTTTTCACACAGCAGCAAGTGTTCTCAAGTGGAGAAATGAGATGTGATTCCATAGTTAAATCATAAGAGCTCTAAGAAAGGCAAATAAGAGCACAGTAATAAGACATAATAAAAAATAAAACATGAATGAAAAATATGAGTAGTGGCATGATTTCTCCTACTTGGATCACTATAAAATAAAGCCATAAATTTAGGCTAAGCCCAATAAAATAGAATAACCTAGGCTCATAAGCCTAGAATTTGTCTTGATTCTATTATTCAAATTCTTTTTAAAAAATTTTTTTATTTTATTTGTGATTTTAATGAAAGCTTACAGAAAAGTTGTATTTTTATTCATTCATTGTTGCACATGCCCCCAGCTCACTTTTAAAATAAAATTCATTGTTGCACAATTTCCTCCCTTCTCCCCTTCTTTCCTCCCCTCTCATCTTTGCACTGTACCTCTTATTATGGACTGTTGTCATATGTATGATGCTTGATCATATATTCCTTTTTTAAAGTTTTTCCCTTCATCTATTCCAAGGCAGTGTTAATTATCTATCCACTTTTATTCTATTCTCCCCCAAACTTCCATGTCAGTCCTGCTTTATAAGTGGTGCTATGTAGTATTTGTCCTTTTGTGGCTGAGATATTTCACTCAGCATAATGTCCTGGCAACCCAAGTGCCCATCAATAAACAAATTGATTATATTACTCAAATTCTTCATATTATTTTTTGCCTATTCATACTATCTCCTTCTGAGAAGACACACATGAAAATCTCTCACTATAAATGTATTTTTTTGTCAAAATCTCCTTGTATTTTTAACTTCTTTCATGTTTGTAAGGTGTTCCGAGGGGCTAGTCAGTAGGGAGTTGCACTGTTAACCCAAGTGTGTGATCTATGCCCAAAGCAAAGGCTTGAATCCGTCAGCTGCTAAGTCAGGGAAAGATGAGCACTCTCCTCCCTTGCAACTTACCACTTCTGAAAACTCCCTGGAGGGCCAGCTATAAGTCACTTCCAACTGGCCAGCAATGAATGTGTGTAAGTTCATGTTTTAGTTGTTGTCTCGTTCGTACACACATCTTTACTGTTGTTTTACATTTTATTCATCATTCATGCCTTTCATCATTTCATAATGTCCTCATACAAAAAAAAAACCCTGCTTTTTTAAGGTAGTATAATGACTAATTCTCCCCAAATTTACAAACTCTTCCCCTCACAGAGTTCCTTTTTTTTCTGAAAAAGAACATATAACAATCTCCAGACAGTTACTACAAACTTGCATGATGTGAGAAGTATTAAGATAAACAAAACAAAACCAGAGGAAACACATTATTCAGAGCACAAAAGACAAAACTTAAATGCACACAATGAAAATGGCCATAAGAAACACAATGTGAATGGGAAACAGATGAGGGAGAGAACTGTTTAAAAGGGATATATGAATGGGAGGGGTGTGTGTGTGTAAATCCAAATATAAAATGAAAAGAAAATAAACATGCACATATACAACACATACTCGAGAGTTATCAGAGGTCATGTTATGCCCTTGAAACAAAACCACAGTGCCATAAACCACAATTTATCTTAAATTAAAAAATCTGTTGTATTTGCCAAAATGGGTGTGTGGAGGCAGGTAGAAACCAGTGGAAAGTTTAATGATTAACTTTGATACAGTGATAGTTTAAAGCTGAAATTTCATAAAAGGTAGAAATTAGAACCACAGGAAAACTAAAAGACACAGAAGACTTGTTGAGTAGATCTACTGAATATTCCATGAACTGCCAAAACGACAAACAGATATGTCTTGGAGAAAGTGCAGCCAGAGTGCTTCTTGGAGGCAATGATGACAAAGCTTCATCTCACTATTTTGGGCATGTTGTTAGGAGAGGCTATTCCTTTGAGAAGGACATCATGCTTGGAAAGATGGAAAGCCAGCAAAAGAGGGGAAGACCTTCAATGAGATGGATTTACACAGAGGCTGCAGAAATGGGCTCAAGTGTGTGAGAGATGAGGAAGCACAGGATAAGGTCCAGATCTGTTCATAGAGTCGCTATGAGTCACATTAAATTTGGTGGCACGTATCAAGAACAACGTCTAACTAATGGAGGAGGACCCAAAAGAAAAAAAAAAATTTTAAAGGATTAAATTACCAAAGAAATAATTTTTAAAATTCTGAAATAAAAAGGTTAAGTGGAACTTTGCCTTTATTAATTTCTTAGAGCCTTGTAACAACCCTGATCTCTTCTTTACAGAAGAACAGATAGTACTGGCAAACGGGATCTATATTCAATAATGGTTATTTCTTACTATTATTATTTTTACTTTCTGGGTGCTAGACTTCTATTTCACTGCCCTTCGGGCGAGGGGATCAGTGTTTTAAATGACAGAGTAAATGTGTCAATTTTTGGACAAGTGTTCCTATGATTTTCAAAAGTTAGTCAACAGTGACCATTATGTTGAGTGAAAAATCTCAGTCACAAAAGGACAAATACTGTATAGTGCCACTGTTGTAAAACGGGACTGACATGGGGGTTAGGGAGAGACTGAGAAAGATGGGTTCAAGTGTATACTGCATTGAAACAGATGAGGGAGAGAACTGTATAAAAGGGATATACGAGTAAGTATTATTGTCATGACTTGAGTCCAGAAGGAAGATGGCATAGCAGAGTGGACTTGGTGGGAGGGACTGCATAACAATGAAAGAATTTTTCTTTTACTTTTCGAAGAGAAGAGCAAATTGGGAGGGAGTGGATATGCAGGGAGAAAAGTGCAACAATGAACGAATGGAAATAAAAAGTCTCTGTAAACTTTCATTAATATTAACAATTTTTTAAAATTATATTTAAAAACGTAGTCAATAAATTTCTGTTCTACACAGTATTGTAAGCATCGTCCCTTCTGGGACTCTCTTCCACAAACCTTATTTTGTGGTGGGGGCTGATTACTAAAGGTTTTTAAAGTTCTCCTGAACAGCTAGCTGCATTTTTCCCAACAACTAATTGATTAGTTGGTTTCAAATAGCTCCTTCCTTCTAATGTCAAATATTTTATAGAGTTACATGACAACTTAATCCTCACTTAAATTTCCCATTTTACCTTTTTAGAACATCTAAAGTAAAAGTTGGCTTTAGACATGATTGGCAAAAACTCACAAAGAAAGGCCAATCCGAATTTGTTTTATTGTTGTTCATAAATATCGAGAGATTACTGTTGCTATGCGCACCTTGGAAGTCCATTTCCAGGGGGGGTTTATTCTGAAGAAGACAAAGGAGAACGAACTTTTCCTTTCCAGCCCAGGAGGCTAGAAATTAGTTAAGTGGAATTTGAGGAATGAGATGAATAATGGTGAGATTTTACAGCCCTGAAAATCAGATACTGTGTTAATATCTTAAAATACTGCTTTTTCTAGCTGAATATGACTGTGTTGGAAATAAATCCACGGTGGATCAGAACCTCATGCCTTTGGGATGGCAGTGCAGCTCCTCCTTACCACTAGACCACAAGAACCCCCTCTCTAACAAAGCCCAAAAAAGGTGAGGAAGATGAAGCAGGGAAGAGTTATGCCCGTGTAAACGGAACTGTAGAAGAGAGAAATGACAAGGTTAAGGTATTCCTTCTAACTAATAAACGTCTTCAAATGGATCCCCCTTCTTCTCCAGAACCTCACCTGCTCTTCCAGCTGTTTGTTCTCTTCATTCGCCACAGGGATGGCAAATCCGTCTTCCCATTGCAGCTCCGCTAAGAATTCGCTACTCATGATGGTAAATGGGTAGGAGACTTCAAACAAGATGTAAAAGAACTATAGTCCTTCGGTCAACCCTAGGCGCCCACAAAGCTCCCTTGCAGCTTCCACCAGAGCCTAGCAACCATTCCGCGTCCTTAGCTACCAAACAGGAAGCGCTTAGAGTTGCAGACGGAACTTCCGGTTAGACTTCCTTTTGAGCCGCAAACTCAAAACTGAGTGGTGATGAAGTGGTTTTCGATTCATAACAGCTCACCGGGCTGGTTTCAGAAACTGTAAATCTTGACAGGAGAAGACTGCTCATCTTTCTGCCGAGAAGCCACTGGTACCGAACTGCTGGGTTTTTGCTGTTGTTGTTTTGTTGTTGTTGTGTGCCTTCGAGATGGAACCGGCCCTTAGCCCACTCTCCAGTGGATTTCAGACGCTATAAATCGGAGCGGAGTTGGTTGCCTATCTTTTTCCCATAGAGCATGCATTTGAACCCATACCTTATTGTGCAGTTTCTCACCACTTGCTAACAGTACAACACTCTTCATACTACCCTGTTGTTGTTAAGTCCTTCCCAAGAGCAAGTGAAGCACTTTCCGTGACGATTTGCTGTAGTTGCCAGGTTCAGCCTAACTTTTTGTCTAACTGGAGCTCTCAGATCTTTTACCTTTGACCACTCCACCCCCTACCTCTCTCAGAGGGTGTAAAATCTGTCTTCTTGAGACCAACCTACGGACTAAAAGATACGTAAATGAACTTGGACTGTGCAGCTTCCTAGTTGCTGGACATGATAGTATGATAGTTAATGGATATTAGTTAATAAAGTTATTATAGTTATTATAATAAGATAGAGTTAATAAAGAATGAATTTTCTTTTCAAGTGGTGTAGGTGAACTCACTGAAGTCGAAGCAAAGTGATACTCTGAAACACTTCATTCCCTGGAATCACTGCTGGGCGTTCCATTCTTCCTCTGTTTTCCTTCTAGCCTTCCCAATGCTCAACTGCCTGCTAAAGATGAGTGCAGATCACTGACATGGAACTTAAGTTTCAGTCATTGTGGCTTCCTCCCCTGCAACTTCTACAGCTTTTTTTTTTTTTTTTTCATTTATTAACATTTTAAAAATCCGGAATTCACAAACATTTGTTTGTTCTCTAGGAAAAGATACACATTATCTTTCTCATTATTTGTCTGAAGCGATGTCCCTGCCAGACTCAACAACTCAACTCATTGTTACCTTACACCGGGTTTCCAGAGGCTGTAAATTGAGAGTGAGAAGATGTACATCCTTCTCTTCTGGAGCTGCTGATGAACACAAATAACCAGAAAGACACTGCCTTTGGGTTAGCAGTGAAACTCCATATGGACTTCCCCTACCAGAAATCCCTCTTTGAGACTGTCTGGTTGCAGATCTCTGACTCAGTGGTAAGGAGTTGCACTGCCAACCCAAACACACTCAGTTTATTCCACCTGATGGTTGCAGGAGAAAGATGGATGATTCTCCCTTGCAACCTACAGCCTCTGAAATCCACTGGAGGGGCCAACTGAGAACAACGAATTTTAATTATAAGTAGTCCTGGACTGAGAGAGAAAGTGTGAGGGGTATCTTACCAGAAAAATGATTCTGGCTAAATCAAATACCTCATTTTTTACTTTATTTAACATTATTGTTTATTGTCTATTATTACCAGCATCTTCATAAGTCATAATATTGAACATCAGTAAATAAACATCTGAAAATAATAACATCAGCAAAATTATATTTGTGATATTAAATGTAGCACACTATATTAATAATAAGATATACTGAAAACAAACACAAAATCCCAACACTGTCTTAAATGTGCTTTGTGGTAAGGTCAGTTCGTCCTGAATCAAGGACTGCTTCTACTTACTTGGCTCTGGTAGACATTTGGATATATGGCCTCTGTTGTGTATCAACAGCTCCTTTAATTTCCTAGATTAAAAATTGGAGATGCCCAAAGAGGAAGTGATTAAAGCAAGCTATGCCTAAACTAGGGCATGAGAGCAGCTGCATGGAGCAAGATGCGGCTTAAATGGTTTGTACTGGGTTTTATGGTTTAGAATTGATTCAGCCAGCAACTGGTAATCCAAAGTATGCTCCTATCATTGAGGGATATTGTTGACCAGAATACCCTTTACTGCTCCCACATTTCAGTATAAACTAATTTTGAATATTCAATAAACAGGCACTTAGAACTTAATCTAAAGTCCAAGGTCTGATTTCTGCCTACTTCCCTGAATGTGTATACAACATTAGATCTTTAAAACCTCAATGGGACAATATTAAGAACATTAAAGTCCAGAATGAGTCAAGGGTAGCTACTCTTTATTTAACATATGCTGAACTATTCACCAATAAAACCGAAAGTATGATTTTTCAGGATAACTACATAGTAATTAATTGTAGGCTTGTTGTAGTTATGTGCCATCTAGTCGCTTGCAATCTATACACAATAGTCCTGAACCCTGCTTTTGCCTGTGCCAACCTTATTTTCTATGACATACCTACCCTCATTACTCCAATCACTGAATCAATCCATCTCATCAAGGGTCTTCCTCTCTTGCATTGTCCCTCCACCCTCCCAAGCATGATGTCCCTCCTTGCAACATGCCCAAAGTATGTTCGAAAAAGCTTTCGAATCCTTGCCTCCAAGGAACAGCCTGGTTTCACTCTCTCTAGGATGAACCCTTTTGTTCTCCTGGTATATTAGTCCATGGTATATTCAATACTCTTCTCCAGCACCACAGCTCAAAGGCATCAGTTCTCTATCTTCCCTAGCCATTGTTCAGCTTTCTGACGCATAGTAAGTAATTTTGAAGACTCAGGTGCACCCTAGTCTCCAGACTGACATCGTTGCTCTTCAGTACTCTGGAGAGAACACCGACAGCTGACTTTCCCAATGGAATTTGTCTCTTGATTTCCTAGCTGCTGGTACCAATAGTGTTAATTGTGGATCCAGAAAAACTAAAGCTATAAACAATCTCAAACTCTTTACTGTCTATCATGATGCTACTAATTGACCCAGTTGTTAGAATCTTTGTTTTCTTGTTGTTGACTTTCAATCCATCTTTAAGGCTGCAGTTGTTGGCTTTCTGCAGTGAGCACTTCCTCCTCCGTTTCAGCAAGCAGGGTTGTGTCATATGCATAATGTAGGTTGTTGATGAACCTTCCTCCCATACTTACGCCACACTCCTCTTCATAGGGTCCAGCCTCCTAGATATTGGGGGCTTAGAACTTGAAAAAAAAACAACAATAATTCCTGACTGACTATTAAACCAAAACACAGAAATTATATAAAAGATCATATATACCCCAACATTACAAAGACTAGGATAATAGAAATCTTGCCAAGACAATCACAAGATCAGTGAGACATGATTTTAAGATCTCTGGAGTCTTAGAAATAGAACTTGGTCATTAATTTTTTAATTTATTTTTTCTGCAAGAATAAGTTTAGGTGTTTCAAGGACTTAAATCCAACTATGTGAAATAAAACAAGCTTATTTTAAAGTTTAATTACAATTTAATGCATAACTATAAGCTTTGAAAATTATAATGTGTGGGTAAATATGGAGTTGATTTTTCAATATGACTTTTCTGTGCTGTGTAGATGGGCAAAATGCAAATAGGGCATGTTAACCTATCCACAAAGGGATTGACTATCTATCAGTCCACAAGAGGATTGGCTAGTCTTGTAATTAAATTGAGCAACCCAGCCATAGAAGGGGAGAGAGATCTCCTGCCACTCCCAGCAATGAAACCTCACCACAAAGAGCAGAGAAGCCATGACTGAACTAGAGATATGATGTAAAATGGGACCTTTGGATTGCTACACTATTGAACCAGAGCTAAAAGCCTTTGCCCAAGTTTATTGGGCACCTGGACTTAAGGGCCATAATTCACAGGACTAAGAACTTTGTAACACTGGCTTAAAACTGTGATGCTCAAAGCCAAAGTGTCTGCAAACACATTTTGGGACCCATCCTGACCATATTCTATTACTAACCTAGATTACAATCTTTTTACTTCTATAACGTGAGTCTCTGTGGTCTGTGAACTACTTCATTGGAGTTTGGGCTGAGAAAATCATAGGTATGTAGTGGTGTGTGGGACATGCCTGACCTCGTGGTAATTGGTTTTGTGTTACTGATACTGTTCAGGGAGACAGTTCACCTTTGTGAAATTGATAAAGGTCAGACATGGCTGTCCCCATGAGGCACTTGCTCTTTTTACAATAAACATATATCTTACATATGTTTCAAATATTTACTAAAAATTAATAATATGCCCTTTAGTGTCATTGGTAAGAACTTTTTTTCACAAAGCAAAACATACAATTCAATTATATGTCAATATAGTTATTTATGCTTGAAATTTGTTGTAGTGTTGCAACTTTGAAAAATTATACTGGCTATGTATCTTAAACATTTCCTAGGACTAACACCCCACTCTGGTTCCTAATTTTGAGGCAGCTCCCTTGTCCTGTGCCATAGATTGGTCACCCAGCTTAAGCTGTAGTGCCAGCCACATGACTGCAGCTGTCTCTGGTAGGTACTCCTCTAGGCCTCAGGGACATGAAAGGAAGGCTTATCATCGGGGATCTATTTCCTGACTTTCAGGAGTTTGTTGGTGTTAGAATTCATAGGAAGGGAGGAAGAAGCATGCTGTGCTGTTAACCAAAAGACAATAATGTCTGTGTTTCAAAACTACTTTTAACATCAACTATCATATGTATATTTGTTGTAGTGGTAGTGGTGGTGGTGGTGGTGTACCATCATCAAGTTGAAAGCGAATCATAGCTGATCCTACAGAAGGGACCAAACAAGAGGAGGCAGTTCATCCTTCTCCCATGTAGCATGTGGTGGATTCAACCCATATACCTTTGAAATTGCAACATCTTACCACTAGATCAAGTGGAAATACCATGCCTTGGTTAATATCCACCTTAGTAGTCAAGGTGACGTCCTTGCTCTTTAACATTTTGAAGAGGTCTTTTGCAGTAG